TAGTGTCCTCAAGATTTCTTTCGCCCTCGTGGACTGATTCTCATCCTTGCGTCTGATTCATGAAAAAAGGCCCAGAGAATAAGATTCGGTTTCGAGTGCGGCGTCAAACCAGCAGGGACCTCAGTTCAAATATAAACAAACTCCCGCGAGATCGCGCGCGAATGTACTTGTTTAGAGCGCAGCACAGCCGTACCCCGTTGAACAAATCAATTTTGACAAAGAAGAAGAAGAAAAAGACGGTGTGCTACTCTTTTTTTTTACCATGGCTAAGAAAAACACAATCGCAGCTGTTAAGTCAGTCTAGGGCAACGAAGGACTTCCACAACATCTTCCGATGACCGAGTCGATGGGCTCTTGACGATGCGCCGAGATGTTTTCTTAAGATGGTTTATTGGTAGCTACGTACGCAAAGAGCTTCTTCGCTTTTCAATATGTGTACTTTGTACCGACGAGCCGTAGGGGAAATATTGCTTACGTCGTCCGATATAACCCAATTCTCCCGCTCGATTATTGCAACCTGCTGATTGAGCAAGGAGGGGGGGGACACACAAGTCAGACAAAAATCTCAATGCGCTGCATATCATTTCTCTATTCATCGACTACCTGGTGGGTTCGAGTTCCAATTCGACGTTTCGGGCCAATTGTACTGGTCGTCTGCACAGTAGGACTGGTTTCTTTGAATGACGATTGCTTCTGTTTTAGATATTGCTCGAAAGTGCTGATGCACGAGTTTAATTGTGAACCTTGGGAAAACAAATTCACGCGCCACCTGTGTTAGCAGTGATGATTTTAAAGGCACACACATTTTAAAAGTGTGTTTTCGAAAGTGGTATAGGGGAAAAATCGAAAGGGGACTTTACAGATAGACCGTGTAAATGAACAGTTTTAACTGAAAAGGATATAAAATCAAAACTCTTCCGTAGACGAAATAACATAAAACAGGTACAAAATATTCGAGGTTTTGAAATTCATTGATAACAGAACATGGAATGCGCAGTCGTGAGTTACAAAACAAAATTCAATCAACAAAACTTTTTTTTGTAATAACAATCCTCATGTCACTTATTTAAACTCGGTTATTGGGTTACATACATTTCAATACGATGCTGAATCATAACATTCTTAAAAATCAACAATTAAACCAAAAAGAATCGTAACGTTACTAACATTCTAAATACCATAAAGGACGTTCTTCATCGTGGCACAAAGTACGCAGATACCATCTGTCCTGCGGTTGACTTAAAACACGTACAATTTTGTAATTTGGTTTTCACTTGACAACAGAAAGAATGATAAATTTCCACTTCGTCAGTTTTTAATTAGCCCAACATCGACACAAACATCAGCCTCTAGTTTTTGTCTGTCTGTCTGTCTGGCCACATGGTATTCCACTTGAAACAAAAACCAATTAAATACTATGGAACGGCTTTAAAGAACGGCTATAAAGACAGTGCTAGTTATATATAGCCCTCCGGACGAAAAATGATCGTTTATGACAAAGGGAATAACCAGACCCAATTTTATAAAATACTGCCAAACAATGGAGATATTTGCTTCGGAAAAATACATGGTGGTTCCAAAAAAAAATCCACTTTTTTCAGAGGCAGATTTCTCAAAAGTGGGGAGACATGTTGAAATTGTTTTAAGATATTCCTAAACTACAAGATCTTAGTGGTATATGGTGAAAACGGCGTTGAAAATAAAGCTCAAGTTAAGAAATGAGCGGCCATAATTTACGGAAAAGTGGTCGAAAACAAGTTTGTCCACAGTCGTGTAGACCTAATTTACATTATTGCAGTTCTTTGTGCACGAATTGCCATTGTGTTGACCATGATCTCATAACATGTGGACAAACTGGCTTTTGACTTTCTTTCTATAAACCATCGCCATTTCCTAATTTAGGCTGTATTTTCAAAACCTTTTTCACCAAATACCCCGAAGATGCTGCACTTTAGGAATATCTCAAAGCAATTTTAACATGTCCCCTAATTCCGAGAAATCTGCGTCTGAAAAAAGTGTAAACTTTTTTTGGGGGGGGGGGAGAATCACCTGCAGTCTGCAGATCACTTGTCCTACATGATTACAACGAATACTGCATGCTTGCGACTATAGTTGTCATCTGTGTTTACAGCTGAAGCAACATTTGCAGCTTGCCATCTTCATGAAAGCGGACAAAGGGGTCTAATAATGAAACAGATAAACATTCGTCCTCCATGACTGTATTAAGCAAGTGTATTGTAACAAGCAAACAATCAATTAGTCGTGAACTATAGACACCTTTCAATGTTGCAAGACATTTTGCCTGATGAACTTTATATTTCTCTCAAATATTTTCAATGCTTAGGAATCTGGTCCTGCATAGCTTTTCATTATTACACAAAGATAATCCACCACCCAGACACAATGTCTGAACACGTCAAGCAATAGTGTTCAAATGCAAACAAATAACCGCGCGAAATATAGTCATAAAAAGGCTAACAAAACTAAGAAACAAACGTATCGTATAGATTGCAATCCAACATACAATACCTAGGCTTCTGTGCTGTAGACGGTGTGGAAAATTGAAACAGTTACTGTAGACGCCAGCTGATTACATAAATAAAGGCAATAAATGACTACCATTACGGCCATATGCTGTTTTCAGCCGTTCTAAAAAAAAAGAAGTAAATGATTAAATTTTATTGTGGAAAAACAATATTTATAGTTTCGTTATGTGCAGCGTATGCATATTTCTACAAATACATGCACGTAGCGATTAAAAATACGCGGCTTTGGAAAGAGTTGCCTAATAGAGTTGCAATTGGCCACTTTTTAAAAAACCTGAAAATTTAACCACTGTCTAGGTTTGAAATATTTGAATTTTTGACACTATTTCTTGACACTGGAGGGCGCCATAGCCCATTCCCGCCCTGCAACAATTTGTTCAGATGAAAGGAAGCAGTTGACGAATTTCAAACGGTTTAGACATACAATGAGAGCCACTCTGTATCTCCGGCCTTTCATGGCGAGGATTGGGGGAAAAAATCTCTCTTTGATCTTTGCACTAAGAGCCTCGCTTTGGATCCTATCAGATTGCAAGTACATCTATCTACATAGCACGAGAAATCACATTTGACTTTAAAAACCAATATTGGGTTTTGCAATTCAGCGACGTATTTTTTTTTGTAAACAAAAATACTCAGTATTTCCTGTGAGTGATTGCCAGTGAGAACAAAATCACTCGGCGGGACTCGAACCAACAATCTCCTGCTTTATACTAGCGCAGACATCTTACTACTCGACCACCGAGCTTGCGGGTGTCAGCTGGCCAGTTCGATCAGAAATAGCAAAGGATAGCGCAATGAAAATATTCATAAGGTGGATAGTTTCACATTCCATTTGTGACTATTTAGATGCCATCTTATGAATATTTTATTACCAAGTTCTTATCGATTTTCACCAATCAATTAGCAAGACAATACAAATGGCCGGAGATAGTCCAATACCTTTCGTGCACAAACTATAGTTTTAGTACAGCTTCGCCAAAATGCATCATTACATTTCGTTATCAATAATTTATGGACATGATTTCCATGAAATCCCTCGTCACAAACTGAACCCTGCAGACCATGCACAATGGAATTATAATAGAATAGCCCAAGTCAGTCCAATTCAAGACCACAAAAATCTCATTATTTGTGGTCCTGTTATTCTGAGAAACGATTATGAAGACAATCTGACCAGCTGACTAGAAATGACCATGGTCATTTTAGCCATTACCTCCAATCTACCAAACAAAATCTCAGCCATCCACGTTCCTCACTGGGACCTTGACACCGTGATGTGTGGGTTGACCACACCATTACCCGCACGTAACCCACGTTCGGACCGAAGTCTACAATGACACAAGTATCAATTATTGTTTCCACCTAACCCTGCGTCTGCCTATACTCAGTGACTCACGATTTTCTTGAGACACGATTTTTTTTAGTCGCTGATGTAGTCTCGGTCCAAGTCTGGATTTGAATTATATTCTTCTTGTACAGCCGGTCCGTCGCAAGCGAGGTCGCTATCAACAAGATGAATCGAATTCAGTCTTGGCAATATTGGCAGCGCTACCCAAGAACCGAGCTTGACTCGCTGTATTCAAGCTAATGCATGCGCGTGAGGTATGCTCGGAATTTCCTAGGCAGCATTGCCAATATTGCCAGGACTGGGTTCGATTCACCTTGCTGATAGAGACCTCCACCTCCGCCGCAACTTAACCACGTTTGCTACGGGACTGCTGCAAAAACAAGGGGAATTAAAAACCCAGTCTGGACCAAGACTATATACAGATGAGGCCATTGACTTAGTATCCTCGTTTTAACAAACCTACATCTAATAGTTCCATGTAGACACAATGTCCAATTAATAATTCATTCAAGATACATGAGACCAAAGACAAGTTCTTTTAGAAGTTAAAGCAGGACTGTTCTTATCAGAACAAAAACTACTTAGCGAAAGTTGATAATAAGCAGGACAAGTTCTTTTCAGAACTAAATATCTTCTAAGCAGTAGTTATTACCACATGGTGTTACCGCAAACAGAAACGATACCGATACTCCACCATGCAAAGCCTAAAATCTTATACATGTACTACTACCTAAACAATTTTAAATACATAAATGCCACACATTGCAGAATAGACCGTGCACATGCTCCCACTGATTATAGAGACTAAGGCTGCGTCCTAATCATTTGGCTACGGCTCGCAACAACGCATGTGCCTATGCACTGCAAAAACTGCAGTGTTAAATTTACACCATTGGTATCTATATAGGACCATCTGGTGTTAAATTTTACTGGTGTTGTCCTATATAGATACCGAATGGTGTTAAATTAACACTACAGTTTTTGCAGTGTGGGAAGTTGATTAAGCAGCTTCCATATGGGCATACGCGTTATCGCAAGCCCTAAGCTCTGACGTCATGTTACTAAATGATGCAGACCTAAAAGTTAAAGCGAAAATCATATCTTACCGTCATGTTGGTCCGTAAACACTCCAACCAGACGATAACTCCTGCTCCGCAGACAAGGCGCCAAATTTCTCGACGGCGAAATTAATTTCAAAAATTGTCACAACTCAAGACATAAGATCCAACGAAATGATTGAAAATCCGTGCACTGGACAGTGCAAGCACGTACTGTAGAATGCTGCAAAATACACAGAATGCACACGTGGGTGCGAATGTAAATTGCATCACCAGATGGAAGGAAGAAGTCCTCCGCTTGCATGCTGCGCGGTAAATGAGACTGAGCCGAGCGCGGGGTTTTTGTAGCGCGTGACGTGCGTTGCCAGGACACCGATCATAGTCACAGATGTACAAAAGGCTGACTATTTCTGTGCTTCCGTCAACAGCTTTTGCTTGCACTAATAACTGAAGTCCATACAACGCCACTTGGGCTTGTAATTGGCTACCTATTAGACCGGCTACATCAATCTCTTTGATAGCTCAATCGGGCTACAAGCAGCGGAGTAAAGTTCGCTCACGATCCGCTGCTAGGCCACACTGCTTCCTGTAAGTTTGTAATGTCTTTTAAAAAGTGGCCTTGTTCGCAAAATGACATAAAATCTGTGAGTTGTGATTGACTTCCAACAGACTTTCGCCGATGCTCCATGCTTTCACATAACGACAATAATATGATAAGACTGACGAGACTAACTTACAAAGGTTTGCACAGCCCAGGAACCACAGCGCCACCAACGGCAGGGACATGATGATATTTTCAATATTCCTATTAAAGATTTCTTTGTTAGTAAGTCACTATTATGTATCACAAAATCTTAAAAGGGTATTGTACATGAGCCCACGCGCACCCTATTCATTCCCACACAATACGAGGCAGAACACGCTGATCAAAAGGGGGCGCTGTCATGATATCTTACTTTTTAGAGTCAAAACAACAAGACTTGTCAATTTCCTGAAACGGACGACTTCCCTTCATCCGATTCCAGTCGTAATTTGGGTTTAATGCGCGGATTGTAAAAACAAGAGAATCCGGCGAACAAACACATCAAACTATTCCGGAGGGCAGTTTCAAGTTCGCGCGCGCGCCACTATAAACCAGATATTAACTCAAGAAAATAGCGATCCGCGCGCTCGCTCCTGCGGATCAAACTGTATGGCAAGCCGAGTGAAACAAATGAAATATAGATCGCAGCGGAGTAAAAGACCGGCGTCTTATTGACACAAGATTCCTCCGTGGTTCATCCGCGTGGACCTCCAAGGTTATCCCGGCTTCCGTCTCATTAGTTTTCACGCTCTAACCCGGATCTTTTATTAGACATCAAACCGGACCGAAGCTAACCAACCGAGCGAACACAGATCCGTTCCAATCTCTCTTCGTGCGCGCATCTATTATACGATTCCATTAAATGTTTACTTTCGCTCGATATGCCTTGTCAAATCAAGGAACCTTTCTTTAAGTTTTTTCCCTATTTTTTGGTTCATCTCCGGGCCGAATGATGAAAGATGTAGTTTCTTTACGATCGATTGCTCTCTGACGCGAGGAAAGATTGCTGTAATCCCAGAAGTCCATAACTGCCCTATTTTTTTCAACGCAGTCGTATAAGATTTTTTGTTTTATTTTATATTCCTTTTTTTTTTTTAAAGAGAATTTTTTTTTATGTATACTGAAATCTGAATGTCAGTTGGGCATACCAACTTGAAAAACATTACAAGTTGGATTTTAACATGTTGAGGAAAGACGTAGAGCAGAAAATTACGATGGAAATGATTTATTAAAGTTCTTCTGAAGTTCAATGCCTAAAATGCCGTCACATTTCCTGTAAAAAAAAGGCGTTTCGCGTCTTTTTGATGTAAGCAAAATCTGCGCCATATTGTTGTTATTTGGATAATAATTTAAGGCATGTATGAATTGGTATTCTATTTTTCTTTCTCATCATTCATAAATCATCAACTGTCTGAGAGTTTGGATCATAATTTCATTAGAAAATCTCCACCAGTACAAACAATTCTAAGAAAAGAAAAACAAAATGACGTCAACATATTAGGGCAGCGCTTGTGTTCCTGAGCATGCGTCCTTACGATGTGAGCAATAATCCAGATCTGGGACACTGTCGTGTCAACAAGGCCGACAGGTAAGCGGAAAACCCAAATCCCTCCTCGACCGTCATTTTTGACAAGCTTAAGGAGGCCTTAGCCATTTTTACATCTCAACGGGTCGATAACGGAGAAACCTCTAGTTTTTTCTCCTTCTTCTAATTCTTCTTTTTCTTTTACATCTGGCTTTGCGTGGCGCGTGCCGCGCGCGTGCTGTTGGAGCCGCGCGCTACACCGGCACGAAGCACACAAATTCTGCGGCACAGCACGGCTGTCATAACATTGCGGTTTTGCGATAACCTAGTGAGAAAAAAAAAAGCCATCAGCCTCAAAGCTTGGCTTTTCGGTTGAGGGTTTATGTTTTATAGAGGAGCTGCCGAGTCGGCTTAAGAGCCTGATCGAAATGTGTCCCAATTTGTGGGGACCGCTTTCTTGACGGATAGTCATGTATCATCCTAGCATTAAATGATCACCTTTCGCGCGACAGACAACAAACGAGGTTTGGCCCTTGGGTTTTTTTGTGGTGAGTTTCTTCGTGATGTTCTGCCCGAACCAATCTCCGGTTTTCCGATCGTAACATTGGCTCTCGCGATCGGCTCAAATTTCCCCCCTATCCGGCAAAACATCGGAACCGAAAAGTCTCCTCGGAATTGGTTTTATCTTACGGTTTTATCTGTCATCGTTAAAAAAGTCGTCCATTATTCACAGGAAATTGAACTTTCGTTCACAATTCCATCACAGAGAGCTTATCTTTAAGGCATCGGCCTAAATTCGGGAAATCCATTTTCAAGGACAAAAGTTCTACTAAGGAAATAAATAGGATGTGAACACCGACAATCTTGCACATCAATATCACAGCTATCAGCCACTATGTCATACAAAAATTTGAACTTTGTGACTGTTTTCAACCGATCTTTTCGAAGCAAAATTTAAATTTTATTAAGCACATAGTTAGGGTTGCTTATCCCTATAGCGTATGTTTCTTCAAACAACTATTCACAATGATATCCTCACCTTGGTGATGCAGGGTGCCCGATGGATCCTTGCTCTTTGAAGTGAATCAAGCAATTTTGTCAAATGTTGAAAAAGAAACAAAACAATTCAATCTCATCAGCAGCACTCGCCAACTTATCAAAAGGACACAAATTTCCAATTTCTTTTCATCCTATCCTGAAAACAGCAAAGGATATGGTTTTTATACCATACTCGTTGGTATTTCGCCAAGTATTCAACGCTTGAGATGATCTATAATAAAAGCCCAAATCATCCGTAAAAGAAATGAGAATACCTTTTTCCCGTAACTTCTGGTATTTCTATTAGAAGGCACCAAAAGAGACATAATCCCAGACCATACTGATCATGTTACAATACTTAATATGTGTGTCAGTAACAGAGAGACTTAATTAGCACCGCACCTAAAATCAATCATTGTTGTTCCTGGATGATGATACTACTGGATAAAACCTTGTCTCAGTGTTCGTTGCCTCGCGTTTAAATCTCGAGAACAACTCTCCTTGCATCATTTTCACGTCCAATCTCGCTGCCACAACAAGCACAGAACTTTTTGACATGATTTCACCCCCGTGCTGAGATTTCCCCTGGCGGAATGCGCATGCGCCCACGCGTCAGCTGTACGTAAACGAATCCGAGGATAACATAAATCAGTGTCATTTCATCATGCTATACATCGCTGTGAAAAAAAGGAGTTGATGATTGGCAAGGTTTTACCCTGTTTACTCCGAGCATACAATCCGAACCCAGGAATACTTCGAGTAAATTTACTTCAAATATGAAGAAAATGTAGACTGGCGCCGCCGCTTGTGTTCCAGCTGCCAAACTATCTGGACATTTCGTTCCATCAAAGTGTACTCTTTGGCCAAAACTACTGATTTGTCGAATTAGTTTCGCATTCTGGGAATACCAGAATTAGAAATTGGGTCCAGAATTTTTTTCATACTTCAATCTGCTTGTAACTGTCGCCTCGATGTATACTGAATCGGTTGATGTGGTTGTCATGGCTCCAGAATGTTATGTCGTCGACATTCATTTTTATATCGATCTATATAAAGAAAGACACGCGCCAAAGACCAAATAGTTTCCCGCCACTGAATATGACCTTTGACCTATTGTGCAATTGGTTTTTAAGCTCTGGCAGGAGCTTCTACATGTGACTTGGTGATCGGTCGGTCGGTCTGTCTGTCCCCGAAAATTGACCAAAAGTATGGTGTTCCATGTGTGCCATCGGCGTCGCTTTTTTAAGCTCTGGTAGGGATTGATGAATTTCGTTTTAAGCTCTGGCAGGGACCATTTTGATCGATTTCATGCAAGATGGTCATGCAAGACTTCTTGCAACACGGCCAGAGCTTATTGTGCACTCGCACTTTTTTTTTTCTATCCTAGGTGAGTACCAATTGCCACTACCTATTTTCTACCAGCTTAGGGGTTCCTGATAACTATTTTTCTATCATCCTAAAGGGTTTCATGATACTATTTTTCATTCTCCTAGGGGATTCTTCTCAACAGGAGATATCAGGGGTTTCTTTAACCCCTTCAATGTTTAAGCTCCGCAAGACTTCTTGCAACACGGCCAGCCAGAGCTTAGTGTGCACTCGCACTTGTTTGTTGTTTTCTGGCGCGAATCTTTTGGAGGAACTCATCCAAAAGGAAATTAATCACAATCATGTTAAGACAACTCAACCCTAAATTTATCAAACAATTCCAGCAATTTGAAGGAACACAAGCGAAACGCTACGTACGCATTCCACACATTAATAGACTAAAAATAATTCAAACGAAGTAAAGTACACCTCATTACATTGCAGGACTATGCACATGTTAATACGATAAAAACCATATGGCCTTTCGATTTGAAATGTATATGGACTTTCAATCTCAGATGATTAGCTGCTACTAATTACAAT